ATGTCTGTGCCCATTTTTGCCGAAGCTTGGCTCTTCCACGACTCCCACTAATTGTTGCGAGAACTTTAATTGCGCAATGCAGGATTAGTATGGTTAGTCCGTAGTTGTATAAGTCTTTAATAGATAGTACTTAAATATGATTCTCTTTCGTTGTATGTCGAAGCCACACTGGTTAAAGATAACTTCTTAGTTTTGTAGGTTCAGTTCAGCTATTAGAGATTAAAATAGTAGTAGTTAATTTAATTTTAAATGCTTTCAAGAAATAAAATTTTGGGGACAGTATAAGACATTTTTGATTATAAATATTTGATTTCTGACATTTTTGATTATATTGGTCTTAGCGTGATGATATATAGCCTATAGCCTTCCTCGATAAATGGGCTATCTAACACTGAAAGAATTTTTCAAATCGGACCAGTAGTTCCTGAGATTAGCGCGTTCAAACAAACAAACAAACTCTTCAGCTTTATAATATTAGTATAGATTTATTTATTTAATTATTTTTGCACAAACAACAATTCATTGTGCAATGGCGAACTTAATGGCAGAGGCATTTTCTATTAGTCTACCTTTAGGTGGTGGGGAAATAGTTCACTGCTGGACATAGACTCCTTTGAAATGAGATTTTGGCCTACTATATTCCTTCTCTTCACAGCGTTTTTTTCCTGCGTAGTTTGCTCCCTTAGTCGGCTCTTACGACACACCCACGGGATAAATAGGGGTTAACAGGTACGGTTAAATACAAAAGAGTTTAATTACAAAAAAATATGCATTAAAATGCAAACTTCGTGCGGACGTTTCTAGTTTTTTTATTTTTAAAGGAATGTTATGATGTTGTTTTTTTTTAGTGTGGAAAGCCAATCACCTGGTGGGGCTGACGGTTAAGTGGTATGCGAAATTGAACTGATTAACACCACAAGGTGTTCCGTCACATGTAAGTCTATTGCAACTGAGTCCGGTATACCTTGACTGCCATGGGCAGCCGCAGTGATGATGATGATGATTTATTTATTGGTTTACCAGTAATCATGATACTAAAACATTGGTAAAAAATCTAAGTGCACAACTTATGTAGATAAACACCACATGCATATAATCTAATATGGTTTAGAAAATGACTACCTACTGACGAACAGCGATGAAAGAAATGTTACAAAACCTATAACCTAATATTAGAGATAGGTCATCATCATCATCATCATCATCAAAAGCCTTTAACAGTCCACTGCTGGACATAGGCCTGTCCTTAGAAGGAGGTTTAGGCCTACTATACCACGCTGGCCAGACGGGTTGGTATAGTTTTTTCAAGTTTTCCTTAGGTACTAAACCTACATCTAAATAGAACAGCAATTAGTACATAGCTAATCGACAGTAAGATTATGGACTCGGGTCTTAAATCTTTTTCTTAATAATTAAAATGTTGTGCCAAAAATATATATCGGTTTACTGTAGTGATCGTATTTCTTGCTTAGCCGTGAAACAGGCGAGTTAAAACCTAAAACTGACTTTCGAAAAGGAGGATGTAGGAGCATAATTGGTTTTCTGGGATATTTGTGAGGTTTATTGAATTTAAATTTTGAAAGCCGATTTGGGCAATTAATACTGTTGTGTAGTAATTTAAATAAAAATAACAAATCAAATGAGGTCCTGCGTTTTTCTAATGAGTCAATTTTGAAATATTTAAGGCGTTTCAATTAGCTTGGTTGTTTCTTTACAGCATCCGCAGAGTAGGCAAGATGATTTTGAGTTCGAAGAAACGCTTTTGAATTCGTTCAATTCTTATGTGTATATGCTTCTTCGAGGCTATAATACAGTACAATTTTAGTTTGAGGAGAGCTGATTTGATATTTCTAATAAGAAAACCCCGATTTTTTGACGATTTCTTTACAAGATTATCGATGTGGGGAACAAAAGTTATTTTGGAGTCAAGTATTACACCTAAATCTCTCTGCGATACGCCATGTAAAGATAATGTAAAAATCTGCAGCATCACATACAGAATACTGTTTACATTTGTATTACAAGACGCCACGAGCACGCGAGTCTGCATTGAACACGATATGAATTTTAACTCACTGCGGTATTGCATTATATTACTTGTGAACATGCAACAATATACTCGAGTCTTTTTAGTGAAAATTGTTGTTGCAGTAACGTTTTTGTTTGGAGATACTAGTGAAAAGAAAATAAAATAATAAAGAATATAACAATAAAGAAATTATAAATAAGGTGATTGAATTTGGTAGCTTGTGATATGTGTGACAACCGATTTCAATGGTCTTTGTGTTTAAATGGGTCCAAACGCAAAGTATATGCTTCCACAAGATTTTTACATAATTTATATAAGAGTTCTGAGGGAACATAAATTTAAGAAAAGTATTACCGATTACCTATACCAACCCGTATTGCCAGCGTGGTGTAGTAGGCCAAAACCTCCCTTCTAAGGAGAGGCCCATGTCCAGCAGCGGACTGTTTGAAGGCTGTTGATGATGATTACCGATTTTAAAATCTAAATGAATATACCTCAATGGAGGCTTCGTTGTTTTTTCTTTTTTACAATACTCTTTCATTCGTTTGTGACTAATATACCTATAGACAGACGTAGATAAATATTCTATATTATATAGAAAGTAAAGAAGTTATTCTGACCGACCTCTAATTGTTGCATCGAAATGATACCTTGTATACACGATATACATCTTGCATCTTGGAGATATTCAGAAGAAAAAGTCAGGAGATGGAATCTGCGATGGATTCAAATAAACCTTTCATCTCAGTTTAAGCTTACACGGTTTTGTTTTGATGAATGCACTAGATTATGATTTCCGATATACCCAAATCAGTTAACGTGAATAAATGCATGAGTTTTGTACTGAGTATTTAACCCCGCAGTCAACGGTTTTTTTTTTAATAAATCTTCAATTTTGACTATGCAATAGGTTGTTGCGATGAAAACATCATCAACGAGAAAAATAGTTATCCTCGTATGTTAAGTCTTAATGTATAGGGATTCAGATCATACACCAGGGACATCCTTTCTAGGGTATACCTGGTTCCCCGGCTATTAGTACCCGAGACGGCGTGCGGTTTTAGTCGGTTCGAGTCCGACATGTCACCGATAAGTGGTATCCGAGGGGATTTCCGCACGGAAAAAAAAGGGATTCAGATCATACTAATAATGTAAAATTCGGTTAGACGACTCTGACTTTCCGTCAGTATGTGGGCGTATGATATGCCTCTGGGACTATGGGAGATACTATCCATAGGAGATATATGTGTTTGTAACTATTTTTAAGCAATGACGCATAGCTGTTCAGAATTGTTGAACATCAAATTGAAATATGCAAAACAGTTACTTATTTAGGAGCAATTATCAATAAACAATGCAAAATAATGTTTTTTAAAAATATTTAATAATACTCTTACATCTCTTTTGTATCTAAATACAATATTTACAAGCTTAATCACATAACTAACTACAATTAATTCACGTTCAAATTTCCTCACTGATGATAATCAGTTCCATGTGGCAGTTGAAGGCAGTGTTACGTCTGTTTTTTGAGTATTTTGTAATAGTAAAAGAAGGAAGCAGGTTTTCTACTTAAAACTATTATTACACAACACAGTCCCAAAGATACATAATGCGAACTTTTTTTAATTTTTTTAATCCTAATGGGGTCGAACGAACTGACAAAGTTGAAAATAAAAGTGGTTAAAAATGCCTTGGACTATTCAGTCGAAATCGTTTTGAAATTTTATCTACATCAAGATTTCTTTAATAATAGCTGTTGTTTTTTAATTTTAAAAGTAGACTAAAAAAAATGTTTGACATAAATGACAAAAAGAATAAAACAGATTATCTTAATACAAAATAAATTACTTAAACAAATATTACTACTTACATTTTTATTTCTTTAATCAGCAAAGATTAAAGATAAATAAAAAACATAATTTTATATTTATTGAGCGAGTGAAGTCAAAATATAATACAAACTGGACAAAACTCGTTTTGCAATTATCCAGTTAAAAATATTATACAAAATTGGAAAAAAGCAGTATCATCCGAAAGTTGTGAACACAAAATAATAAAATAACAAAGAAAATATCGATTTCATTCGCTCACTCGCTTTATCACTTCTCAAAAGTAATAAAATTTCAGATCAGACGTTACAGTGAAAAGAAATCCAAAGATTTTTTACTTAACTGTTATTAAAGGGGTTTATAATATTATGTATCTTTAGGAGAGTATTTAACTTATCTAAGAAATATAATTTAACAATAGATACATCTAAGAAGTTTCAGTTACAATGTTTAAGAAATTTACATTTGTTTATCACACAATTTCTTTTATCCACTACAAATGATGCCAACTTACTCGAATAAATAATGTTACAACATAGATTATTCAACATTGGTGGTCCTCTGTGCATATATGTAGCAAGAAATATTATTTTTAAAACCCGAATGGAGATTTTTCTATTCTAAATTGCATTCTTTTAGGTAAATAAGTATCTCCACATACTGGCGTTAATTATTTGAGGGGACAACTAATTTAATATATATAATTTATAATTGTCAAGAGCGCTACTGTGTTTGGCGATCGTAATAATTTAACCTTTTTTTAAGAATTACTTTTTAATGTGATATAATTTCGTGTTCTTAAGTATTTTTAAGCCGGCAATCACAGTGGCACTATCTAAAATGGCGCGAAGACTTTCTATAAATAAAATTCAATACAAAAATATAAAAATAATCAATCTTTCATACTTCCCTTGAGGCTAAAAGTTAGTAATTGTATTTGAAGTATACTAATAAATCATCTAGATAAATCTAATTTTGAACACTATACATTTATAATTATTGCGATTTACATAGTTATAGCGGGACTTAAAATACCAAATAATATCTAAATACTTCAAAAAATGATTTTAAAACGTTATTTTGATAAACAATCATGAATTGTATGTTGTATACTGGTTAATTTCTAAATGGTTATAAGTTTACCGTCGAGCCGGTGGCGCTTGAGTGTGATGGGTACATCCTTCTACGTTTTCTGGCCAATCGCATACATTTTCATTAGGGTTAAATACAAGGTTTGATGGACATGGCATGTGATGTTTTCTTTCTCCTTCGCACATGTAGTAATGTGTGCAGTCAGCTTTGTCAGGATGATAGGAAATGTGACCATCTTCTTCTTCGCAAACAACTTCAGTCGCTGCAAGAAAGTGTTCTCATATTATATTTAGCTTTTATAACTTGCGATGATGAAAACCCCACAGATCAATTCAAATATTTGATCATAAACTTTAATTTTATTACTTTACATTTACTTTTTGCCCCGCACAACCAATTTGTGGAATGGGTTATCGTCTGTGATATTTCCGTACCGATACGACATTCAAACCTTCAAGAAAAGAGCGTACTCCTTCCTAAAAGGCCGCCAACGCGTTTGTGACTCCTGAGTTGCAGTCGTAAAAAAAGAAATATAAGGCATAAGTACTTACGATCTTTAGTAGTATATTGTCCATTAGGATTTGAAGATTCATAAGGACCGTCATATTCTAATTTCACTTTGTAGTCGCCCAGTTCTTGCTTCATAGCAGTTATTAAGGGGTATTTTCCAGTGCCACATGATCCTCTGAAATCGTCCATGTCGACGGACCAGACCATAATGCCACCAAAACCTTCATCTTTAAGCCAGGCCATCTGTCAACAACAGGTTTGCATGTTCTTAAAATCGGTATAAGTGTAGTAGTAGTGTAGTGTGTAATAGTCAAAGTCAAATAAATTAGCAGTCTAAGTAATGAAATTATTTTTAAGTAGAACTGAGTAAAAAATAATTGAATACGAGTATATATCGTTTTCCCGGATATCTAAGTTTATAAAGTATTAATATAAGATATTCATTCAAAGCTGAATGAAAAGATAATAATATTATTCTCATTGTAATGATATTTTTCCTCTTTAGAAAAGTGGGTTATTTACCTATCGAATTATCTTCTGATTCTCAGAAATTTATTGGATGATATATATTGAGTATTGGAAATCAAAGTTAATAAGTGGAACATCTTAATTTAGTATGTATGTATGTATGTTTTATAGTTTGTTACCATATATTATATTACTGTTTAATTTTTGTCAGTTTTTAAAATGTCTCAAGTATTGATAAACTAGTATGATACAGCATTAGGGTAAGGGGTTACCTTAGTTTTCAGCGACCTCTCATCATCAAAGCCGACCCATTGATCTTCCCTGTACGCGAAAGGCACCATCTGTTCGTTATCCCATACCAGAGTAGTGTTGTCTTCACGAAGGAATTCACAAATTTCGTAATATGACATGAAACCAGCTTCGTTGGTGTAGCGACTGGCAGTACCTGAATAAATACACTTGTGTTTAATTAACATAGTACATAAATATTATTATAACACTTGTATCTTTGCAAAGGTATGCAGATGTGTTTTAAAATCGAAACAAGAAAATGGGCTTTATTTAGTTGGTAAGAAAGTTGGGATCTAGAAGACATTAGAAATTAAGAAAGAAATATGTTATTTTCTGATGGTTTGGAAAATGTAAGCAACTTCTCGAGGAGGTCAGGATCGAGTCCTTTTACAATAATTATATTATTCTACCACATTCACACAACGCCATCTAGACCCAAACTAAGCAAAGCTTGTACTATGACTACTAGACAGCTTATCAGTTGTCTAGAAGCCATAGTACAAGCTTACTGCTACTACTTTAAATATATATATACTTTTTTTGTAAATACATACTAATTATATATAGAAACATCCAGACCAAATCAAACATTAAATGCTCATGCATACAAAAATTTGGCTTGAGCAGGAATCGAACCCGAGGATAGGAAGGAATAGAACAATGGCTAGAAAGTTCATCTGGACCGATGAATTTATCTACATGAATTTATGATATATTCCTATCTGTAGTACTTACCGCCAGCAGAAGCCGGGGCACCAATATCAAATTGTGTGTTGTTGATCAGTGTGAAAGATCTTCCGTATGTTGGCATACCGATCATCAGTTTTTCTTTTGGAGCACCTTGACGAACCCATTCGCGGGCTGAGTAATCCTAAGGGTATTGATAAAAGCTCCAATTAGTCACGAGCTTAGATGAGCTTTGATAGTCTTGGCCTGATGACGTAGCTAGTCAATGTTAACCTATGTGTAGGTGTTGGTGCTAATTCTGTTGTTCGAAAAAGCTCTAAACTAAACTAAAAATCACTAAAACTTAGTTTAGTCCTGTTAAGTACTACATTTTCAGAATACGAAACGTTATTGTACACTTACAGGAATAAACAATTTTTTTGTGATTTTTAGTTTAGTTTAGAGAGTTTTCGACCAAAGAATTAGCACCAATATGTGTTTTCAAATAACTCACTCACGTTTTTTAAAGTATATACAAATCGGTTGAGGTTTTTAAGTTTATAAGCTAATACGGGGTTAACCTTGGACACAATAAAAATATCAATGATAATTATTGTTCCCACACTAGGAATACATATCCTGTGTCGTGGAGGACTTCACAAACATACATGAAACGGACACAAAGAACACCCAGACTCAGAACGACAATTTGTGGATAACACAAAGTGTCGTCCCGTGTGAGGATCCCGGATTAAAGCCCCCGCGACATTTAGGAATGTATCCTGTGTTAGACACAGGATACATTCCTAAAGCGGGAGCTGTCTTTTTAAAAGAAGAGAACAAGGAAGAGTTATTTTACATTTTGTTCATTTATATAAGTAACTAGTACCTCGTTAAGCCTTTAATGTTAGTTCTCGAAAGAGAACCGTGGAAATGCAAGGAAACTGGTTTTTCCTCAAGTATAGTGTGCTTTTTCAGCCCCTTATCTTTAATGGTCCTTTCAGAGACTCAACTGTATAGCTCGGAGATTTGCTCACTACTTAGAGAATATGAAAACTCTCACAATAGTAAAACGAGTAGGGTTAATTTTATGTTGTTGTTTGAAATTATAAAACTATTCAAGTAAATGTTTCATAGAGTAGATTTATAAAAAAAATACCTGTATAAATTGACAATGTGGTTAAATTTTGTGGGTTTTTTTGAGGTTGATTAGGCAAATTCGGCAATATTACACATTATTATTGAAATGTAATTTTGATAAACTAGTGTACACTCCACACAAATTTCAAGTATGGAGGTCTGAAGTTGCTAAAATAAAGTTTGTTTTAAACGACAGCCATGATGCTTTGGTGACGGATAAACTGAACTGCTTTGTTACATGAATCAATCATTTATTTGATTTAAATAAATTTAATAGATATATATATTGAGTCACGTTGTTTGTGGACTTGTCACTTCTCCGAAACGGCTGGACTGATTTTAATGTATTTATTTGAATATTTTTTAGATATGAGAATAAATTGTAATATTATCTTTGACCGTCCTAAACGAACTCCCATTTTTTTTTAAATTACGTTTGATTTTTTTAATAAATTACATGGCAGAACAGAGTTTGTCGGGTCAGCTAGAGTTCTAGAAACTGCGTTTTGTGTAGTCCACTCAAAAATTTGTCAAAAATTTCAGTAGACGCTTAGTATTACTGTTTACATTAACACAAAATAAACTTACCACAGTGAGTTTTTTCTGATAGCTAGTAGCACTCTCTAGTGGGAAGAGAGGGCTGTTGTGTCCGACCTGACGCTCCCATTGTCCGTGGAAGTCATACGTCATCACGTTGATGTAATCCTGAAAATTAATGTTAAACTTACATTAGATTTCTACTGCGGTTACGAAAATTTGATCCATCAAAAAATCATAGCCTACAAATTATAAGTTGTCATAAAGAAAATATAGGTAATAAAAAAAAACTATAAATCAATCAACTAAGTGATTTAGTCAATACTTTTTTCTCACAGTCTTAAAAACCCAGTAGAAAAGCCTGCAGCTCTTAAATTCCCAGAAATATTATGGCGAGCTGAGCCATGCTTTTGAGCGAGCTTTGACAAGAGGCCTTCAAGTCAAGTCGTATTCACGATCGGAAATATGTAAACAATAATTTGAAATAAATAAAAAACTCACCAAATATTTCGAGATTTCTGGCACGTCGTACCCAGCAGCGATAGCTTCAAAGGAAGCAGGAACAGCAGCAGATAGTAGAAGTCGAGGTTGTCCAGATGTTTTCGCTTCACCTTCAAACGCAAGGCGCAATTCTTTGAGGAGGTTTACGTAAGCTGCACGGTCATCAGCTCCTCTGCAAAATGGGTAAAATGTTTTGTTAAAATCTAGAAAATATGAAATAATTAGGTGACGTCTGCTTTCAAATTTTAAAGAAAATGAAACGAATTACAAACAGAACATACAAAATTAATAATGAATAATAATGACGTCAAAAAATTTGATGTATAACTTGTATAAAATTTAATTTATGTAATAAATATTAAACTCACCTAGGATATTCCCAGTCTACATCAAGACCGTTGAATTGGTAATCTCTTAGGAACTCAATAGCTTCGTAGACAAACTGATTCATACGGAACACGTTGGTGGTAAGTTCTTTGAAAGGGGTAGAGCCGAACGCCCAACCGCCAATAGCGAGGAGAATCTATTAGAAAATTGTTATTCTTATTAAACCGATTTATTTGGTTGAGTATTAACATCATAGCTACAAGTAGGACACTAATAAATTATCTCAAAGAACTTACTTCTTCTAAACCTTACGTACCTTTAAATTAGGGTTCTTCTCTCTCAAAGCTACAACTTTGTCGTACATTTCACCATCTTTCTCATCGCTTTCAGCTAGCTTGTGTTCTTTGAGAGTAGCAAACGCGTAGATGATGTGAGTGCAAAGGTTGGCATCAATGTTATCGGGCATAAAGCGACCAGCTGAAGGCCTCTTTGCAGACCATGATGTCAGGTAACAGAGGATTTGAGGTTCACGTTCTGTACACAAAAAGTGAGTAATAAATTGTTTGAGTAATTTTATTGGTACAATAGTTGAAGAAATTTCTAGTTTATAATCTGGGGAAATGGATAAAATCACTTTCTCAATTTTGTTTTTATATAAACTTGTTATATAAAGCTTTCACTGCCTATTAGAATTCTAGAGTTATAAATATTGCAAATTCAACAAAAAAATGAATACTTTTAATCAAGTTCGATCTCATTTATCACAATCAAAACCAATTTATCCTCAATCGATAGCTCAGATTCTAAAAAACGTTAGAATTTTGTTAAAAATCTCATCCATCATAATCAAGTGGAAAACGTGATCTGATATTAAATTTCTACTTTCTGCACTTTAACAGGCAGTGGAAATTTAACATTGGGGAATTTGATTCATCAAATATTAAATATTGTGCAATGTATGTATCGTTGTATTTTTTTTTCCAATAATTATTGGAGCCGTTAGATTTTTTATTTTTAACGAGTTGCAATAATTGTTAAATGTACTATTCAATTTAATAAAAGTCAAGAAGCGTTGAAGAAGAACTACATAAAGTGTTAAGAATTCGTGGACTTTATTAAACTTTTTAGAACTGTCATTCTTGTCTCAACAGTTCTACAAAACAGTACTTAAACAAGTGAAACATAATGTTTAATATCGAAAATATGTTATTTACTACAATTCCCTACTTGGAAGACCGTAAAACTTGTAGCTACTTGTTAAGATGTCGCTCGGTAGTATCATAAACTTGACGGCATTAAATCACAAACCCCATTTGGTCCTACTTACCAGATAAAGTAGATACTTCCCACTTCCAAAAATATCGAACCAAGGTATATGCTTACTTATTGTCAGAGGTCTCAAGATACTGGCTGTTTATACCACTTGAACGTAAAAGTACTCGATGTTTCAAACTTTTAGCAACTATGTCACGAATTGTCGACTTTCCTAAGCAATTCTTGGCAACAACAGAGGGCCTAAAAGTGACCCTTGTGGTACTCTGTTAGAAGTCGAGCTTTTAGTGTCAAATACATTTTCTTTTGTTTTTGTTCCATCTGTTAAAAGAGTTGACAAACTATGTTTACTGATAAAAGATGATGGCAGAAGATTTTTTTTAGTCATCTTTAATTTTTCTGCAAATTTATGAATGGAAACTTGTTTTTACTCATACAATTCTATTGTGTAACTATATCTTATGAATTATTGACATATATAAAAATAATGTTTACCTCTATAATTTTATTACTTAAAAATATTGCTTTAATATTACCTAGCACATTACATACCTCATTTCACTTTATTAAGCTTCGGGTTAGAAAATAGGTATCCTCCTTTAAAACTTATTATTTTTAGTACAGTATACAGATACACGTGCCAAGGGAAGCGTTAAAGACTCAAAGAATCTTCCATTTGCTTTTGAACATTGTTTATTTTAGCCGGTGTTTGGAAAATGGAATTTCTCAAACATGTTCACAACGAAGCTTTGCTCTTAACATGCCTACCAGAGTTGGGTTAAGTGAAATTGTACCTTAACATGCTTTGAAGTTTTTGGAGATAATCCCTGGGTTTAAAGTTTTAAGATTTCAGCTATGTGCTCGTTTGATAGTTTTAGTTTAATGACTGAGATAAGAACTTTTAATACTATTGCTATTTAAGTTTATAAAAAGAAAATAAACATCAATATATATGGATTTTAGTACGAAGCGTTCAGGTTATTTGTTTTTTATTTAAATTAAATTAAATATACGACTGTTTATTTGACCCAGTTCTCATAATGGTAAGGGGATACCGGTTATAAACAATTACGACTTAGTGGTGGCAATTTTTTATTTATTTATTTATTTGATCATGACAGACCGTCTTTCTGTACCATGAGAAATCCACTGTACTGGAAATAAAGTCACAAAATCAGTTTTACTAATGTACATACAAGGAGGTCAGTCTATGTTTCAAAAAAACTTTTATATGTTATTACATGAAAATATGTCTACGGTTTTAGAAACTTATGATTATGTAATGCACCATTTATTCTACTGCCTTATTATGTTCGTTGTAAGTTTTCGCTCATAATAATTAGCACTTGTTGTCATCATTAAACTTACGTAATATCAATCAAATACTTTTACTAGTAACAACAGTGTGGTATTTTAGAAAGTCAAACTGTTTAAACTAAAATTATAGATAGTTATTATAGGTTTTGTAAACGGCATCAATTATCTATATTGCGAGAAAGTATTTAACTATGCTATTTAAAAGCTTTTGGTGTCGAAAACTGACGAAGCTATTGGTTCGAAAAAATGATGCGTGGGTGAGAATATGCACCAAAATTAAGGATGACAATTATAGAGAGATTTTTAACTAACATTGGGTATATATATTTGTATGGGTTTAATCAAAACTTTCATTATCAAAATATATAATTGAATAATAACCCATCACAAATCCAGTTACATAAATATTGAGCTGTGCGCCTAATTTCACATAGCTGAACATATGCCTCTCGTTAGAAAGGAGGTTTTGGCCTACTATACCACGCTGGCCAGACGGGTTGGTATTGTCAAGTTTTCCTTCTGTTTTCAGTGCTGTTGTCCTGCGTAGTTTGCTCCCTTACTCGGCTCTTACGATACCCACGGGATGAATAGGGGTGGTGACACTCTGTATTCTTAATCCATCACCACACGAATAGATTTATATTTTTTTTTTAATCTACGTTTAAAAAAAAGATTTTTAAAAAACCAAGTTTGACTACGAATAACATTCTGTAACACGCAGTATGAGTTGAAGTGAAATCAAATTTGTACAATTTACACAGAAAATAGACTTACTGTTCTTATCAACTTCATTGTTGTTCTTGATAATAACCGTCTTCCCTGGCTTCTTTATTCTGCTGACCACATCGCTGAGGCTGATCTTGATCGGTTCAGGTTTTTCAGACACTTCAATAATTGCGCTAGAGGCTACTGATGACCAGTTGACATCTTTAGCGTCCTTTCCTCGGGAAATGCCTCGGAGTTCCTCTCTAAAGATGAAATTATTAAGATTATAAGATTTATGATATATAAAAGGCTCTAGTTTTTTCTTTGTCATTGTTGAGTTTTAAGACTTTGCTCAGTTTTATTGAAATTGTAATTTTGTGAATTGTTTTTCTTATGTAGCTCTACCGCGATAAGCTTACCTCATAGCACCAATAAGAGGATACTTGACATCACCACCACAGACGCTGCCGGTGAAGTCATCCATATCAACTGTCCAGACCATAGCGCCTCCAAAACTGTTATCCTTGATCCATCTATTAATAAACAAATAAGACACGTTTTATCATCGTATAATATAACTTATACTACGAAACCAATAACAATAGAGTATGTTTTTAATAAAACAATACGCGTAAAGGCCTTTCTGCAGCATCCAACAACTTTTAGCATCGATTTAGAAATATTAGTACTAGTAAACTAACTCCTTTCTAAGGAGACGCCTATGTCCAGCAGTGGACTAGTGGAGGCTGTTGATGATGATGATAAAACTAATACTACTAGAAACAAAACCGTCATCTTTTACAACAAACTAAAAACTGATTCAATCTGGATGCATTTGATAAGAAAGTCATCTAGGTATTATGTCTCAATACCTTGACAGAACTGAATATATATTTAGGTAAACGCCTGACCATAAAATGGCTAAAACTAATAAAGATCTCAACTACGAAAACTGTTGCGTCTACATATTTCAGTAATGGCCAACGAGGCTAATATTTTGAGGTTTAGGAAGGAAATAATCATAAGACTGCAAATATTTAAATTACCTCATCTTGTTCCTGATAGATCTTTCATCGTCGAATCCGATCCATTGGTCACCATTAATACAGTATGGTACCTTCATTTCTTCATCCCACACGTATGTACCTCCATTTCGCAGCAACTCGCAAATCTAAATCATAACGACAAAATTATTATCAGTTCTAAATAGGTATCAATATTTTTGGTTTCAATTCTTCACTTTGGCTTACTGGACAGACTTTCATTTGTCGTTCCACAGAGTTGCTATATGTATTATATGACTAATCTTAAATTGTTCTCTATGTATGTGTTTAATCGAACTTGTCCTCGCCCGCAGTTCCATTTTTTTTTGGAACGAAGTTCCTTATCGCGCATTGTGAAAGGGGGCTAGACGTAAAGTCTCACGAAAAGTTGTAACGACACTTTTTGTGTCAGTCATTCAGCGCCATCTATCGAATAGATAGGAAATCATTACTTTTCATCTCAGTATTTATTTTGAATTGTCACTTGTCAGTCATTCAGCGCCATCTATCGAATAGATAGGAAATCATTTCTCAAGGAGATATTACCAATGTATAAATTGTTTTAATTAGGAACCAACTGAAAAATATGTAGGTAATAGCCGCTTTCATAAATGGCGTTGTAATTAAAATCGTGTCGAATCAGTTTTACTCGATCGTCACAACTTCGTTCCTATCGGGTGTCCCACGACACCAGACTTTCTTTTTATGTGTCATTAAATAAGTCTTTCAAAATTTTGTATTTAAAATTAGACCTGCAATTTATTGCATTTCGTTATTTATTTTAGTTAGGCGAATATAATAAACATAAATACATAAAATACGTAAAATCCCACTTATAGGCAGGACGAAGTCTGTCCGGTCCGTGAGTGTATATACTGGTATATACTAAGTAGCTAAGCTAAATTCTTCTAGAACAATGTTCAGGTCAGTACTAAACTTAACGAAATTTAAACACAAACGCAACCACTTGTTTGTAATACCAAAGCCTTGACAATTATGCCTAATTGTGCAGCAATTATTTTTGCAGTTTATGAATAACATTATAAATGTACGGTTCTGTATGTGTGCTTATGTGCAAGACATTTTGGTTTTTTGATGAATTTAAACACAAACTCTTAGCAAACTATACGAAATGTGTGAAATATCCAACGAATCCATATAATATATTCATATCTCGTCAAAACAAATTCCACTCAAATTTCTTGTGTAATTTAGTTTTCTCCCACTCATAAATATGTCTTAATAACTCAGCGTAATATTTTTTAATTATAATAACCTCGTAATAGGCGAGGAAACCGCCTTCCTTTGTGTACTCGCCGGCTTTGCCACCCCCACTGGCTGGAGAATTTACTTTGTAGTTATTGGGGTTGGATAAGGTGAATGATCTACCGTATGTCGGCATACCTGGAAACATTAGGCGACGTTAGTAAAGCAGCAAAATTTAGGTCTTGGAAATGTTAGACAACTCTCGGATCCTGTGTGATTAGACGTCTAAGAGACCTATTAGTGTTATACAGAGTGTTCCAAAAGATGTAGTCAAATTTTAGGAGCACCATATGTAGCATATATAGTGATTAAGCTTGACAAACAATTGATTTAGAAAAAAAATACATTTTTGAAAATTATGGGTTAATTTTAATGATATTTTGCATGTACTCGTAGATATTTTCTGAAAAACTTTATTTCATCAATTTTTAGGTGTTAAAAATACCTATGGGAATTTATATTTCCGATTGGATGGCGTAGTGGTTTGTGTAACGGACTGCTATTCCAAAGGTCGCGGGTTCGATTCCCGCTCAAGTCAAACATTTGTGTGCACGAACATTTGATGTTTGATTTGGTCTGGGTGTTGCTATGTATAATATGTATGTATTTACAAAAAAAAGTATATATGTATTTATATCAGTTGTCTAGTACCCATAGTACAAGCTCTGCTTAGTTTGGGACTAGATGGCGTTGTGTGTATGTGGTAGAATATTATTATTATTATTATTATATAAATATATGTATTTCGTGTTTATTTAATCAGGCAATTTCAAAAATTTTCACAGTCAGAAATTAAAAAAATATATTTAAGAATCACAAACTTTCCTTAAAATTTTTAGCGTTTTGTAACTTATACGACTCTAAAATATATACACATCTTTCAGTAGCATCCTGTGTATTTTTAAACCCGTATATTATACTCATAATTTACATACATCAACCTGTACTTGTATGATACTCTTAAGTAGACATGTTCTCTGGATGTTATTATACGAGTAATATTATAATCCAAAGAGTTTCTTATTGTTATTAACTTAACTCTGCGGTTAGCTTCAATTTGACTGATAATTTGTTCTGTGTCTGTATGTTACGCGATTTCTTTGCCAATCCGAAAACAATGATTCTTAATTGAATAGTTTGTGCTCAGCGTTAGTCCAGTTGAAATTTGAAAAAAAATGTGTCTCCTCCAAATGTGATAAATAATTGGGTGCAGAATTGTTTTCTGGATGATCGATAATTATTAACCACACAGATCAATCAAACATTTAAATCCAATTATAATACAATATACAAACAACTTACCAATGATGAGTTTCTCTTTAGGAGCACCAAGTTTGACCCATAAGTGGGCAGCATGATCCACGGACAACTGTTTCCTCCACTCGGAATCTGATGACGGGGCGTACAGGGGGGCGTTGTGTCCAGTTTCCTTCTCCCATTTGCCGTGGAAATCGTAAGCCATAACATTGATGAAGTCCAAGTAGCTAATAAACGAAGAAAGAAGTTATTAGAAATCTGTTTCCAATGGAAGAGAGAAGGAGAGGAGGCCATCATACACGAGGACGTTCAGTTTTTTTAGTTGCTGCTACGAGTATATTATAATGTTATACTTAAAGATTATTGCACGAATATACTCGTAGCTTATGTAGCTTTGAAAAAAACTTTTGCAATAATTCTTGCAAAGCCTAAAATAATCAGTTGAAGTTTTTAACTAAATTAAAATATCTTAGGAATGAACGCAATAATTTAGCTTGTCAGTATGCTGATTTTAATATTATACTTTGAGGTTGGCAATACTGTTGTAAAGTTTATGTAATACTTGTTATAAATTATTTTGGTTAGAAACCATTATTTAAAAAGTTATACTATCTTTCAAATTCAACTGTTATTCGTATTAACTAACACTTATTCAAATATGATATTGATATTCTCGTAGAATAAAAAAAAAACTACATAGTTTAATAAATTGAAGTTTATAAAATCAATAACAAGATGATTCTTTTCCCGATTGAGACTAAAGGCTTGCCATCTAAGGTAAATGGAACTAAAACGATAGCCAACAAAATGTGAGCGTTTAGTGTGCCTTTATGTACCCCTTCAGGGTAAAGATCTACGTATTTTTAAAGTTGTGATTATAAAGTAAACATAATTATATTTCGAAGAAGAAAACATAAACACTCTTTATCAACACAATGACATCATAATGTAAAAAAACGTTGAAAGTGACATCAAAATCACAACAAAGAAAATTTGAATGTTTTTGATTAACACGTCAAAACCGTAGACACCCAAATTTAGGCACTCATTTTGACAAAGACATGAGCACACAAGAATGTAACATTTAAGACATCGTTCCAAGCCATAAGATTGAAAATTGAGTAAAAAATTGTTAGTTAGTATATTTGCTAACATTGCTATCAGTACAATGTATATGAATGTGGGAAAATGCATGAAGTTGAACAATGTAGAAAAAAAATATTAATAAGAGAAAATTTCGTAACAGTATTGCGACAATGTTATTTCTACTCAGTACAAATAATTTGGGTCGGAATTTAAATACAAATGGACTCAGGAAGTCGACGGTATGGGGGAAATATTTAGGAAAATTATAATCTACAGCGTAATATTGTACGTAATAAACTAAGTTCACTCAATTTTTTAACCTAGATTATTTGAGGTTTACTGTAATGTTATATTTTAGTATAACTCTTATCTCCTAGTAAGTGGTTTTTGTAATATTTCTTAAAAAAATCCTTGAACTTGATAGATCGCAACTCAAACTTTACCTTGCTGAACTCTAAGTCACATTTAGGGTAACTGATTTCAACTGATTTAAAATTTATATTAACCTTTATTTGAGGTCTGTTAATGAACCAATGCGTTTAATTATGCTTATTCTAAGATTAATTTGATCCTTGCAAATTTAGTAAATATTTAAATGCATCTATGTTTGAGCATATTGTTAAAAAATATATTTTTGATTCCACTTAAAACATACGGATAGGAGTATGATAGTGATACCTAGCAACAGCAGGAACATCGTATCCTCCTCTAATGTTATCAGGTCCTACAGGAACAGCAGCAGTGAGTAAGAGACGAGGTTTCTTCACTTCTTGAGCTTCCGCTTCAAACGCTTCACGCAGTTCTACAACAAAAAAGAAAGTAGCGTTACTTTAAATTGCAAATAGATATTTAAAACATATTTTAATTAAATTTAGGTTGTAAATTAAAAATAAAAATAAAATTAAATAAAATGTTGGCTAAAAGTTTGGTACTGTTGCAAGTGCTATGATCACAAATTCCATACGAAATAGTAATAAGACCTTTGTTGAACTTCAACTCCTGTGTTACAATTATATAATACAATAAATGCTTACAACTGTATTATGTGTACATAATAGACCCCACTTCCAAACTAAGTATTCCTGGAACACACACAGGCTTTTACATTATATTCATATTCCATTTCTAATAACTTATTAACTGGCAATGACCATGGAAGTTTAAATCAGTATCTTTTTATGGAAAATCACAAGAAGCTCTTAAAAAATGCTATACCAACTGTATCTAACGCTGTTACAGCAAGGTTTTTAAGCATTGTATAAAGGAATTTCGAATGGTTCCTCTCTAAATGTATCAAGGACTGTTGAATCGAGCTGTTGAATAATTATTTATGTTAGATTTATTAATAATAACTATTGTAGTCAGTTAGACACCTCGTCAGTATGTAAAAGAATTTTGCGATTATTAAGTTCTGGATTCTGAATTTCTAGGAAACATCTTGAAGGATAAAAATAAGTATCAAATTAAAAGCCTTATGACCTTGTCATGGTATGTGACTATTCTACTATTTTTATAAAAGTAATAGGTAACGATAGTTATTTATGATAACTACTTATCAAAGAGATAAATTGTTTTGTGAACTAATTTTGGAGTAAGTTTTGTCTGCTGCGGTGATCTAAACTCCATTTTGTCAATCAATTTGCCAGGATTAAAAGTAGCTTGCGCACTATTTTAGTTTATCTCTGTGCTAAATTTTCTCCAGATGCGTTCAGCCGTTCTGGCTCAATTTAGTAAGAATATACATCCAAAATTTTGAGAGCTGCGAACGATCACGTTGTTGTTCTGTATCTCGGTGTAATCCATAAATAATATTTTTGTATTTAGAAGTATGATTATCAGCAGAGTAACCAGACTGCTGATAATCATATTTGAATATTTCTGTGATAAATGGTTACCAAATAGCACAGGCTCTGCCAGTTTGGGATCAGACTGTCGTGTGTAATATGTGTGAAGTTATTAGTTTGTCCTTAAGTCTATAAGTCTATTTTTTATTTATAACTTTTTGCACAAGAACATGCATCGGCGGACTTAATGCCTAAGGCGACCCAGTCGACCCAGTCGACCGATTGGGCGGTGCTGAGAAAGAATGAGGTAGGTGCATTTATGGTAGGGTAAAAAACGATAGAGGTTTTGTTAAATACCAACTATCTTGGAATTTGGTGTATACGTCATAATACCACACACATACACATATATATACTTTAGTCTCGTATATGACTGCGGTGCTGAGGTCTTGGGTCATCTGACACAGAACGCCATCTAGTTTCAAACTTAGCAGAGCTTGTACTATGAAAGCTAGAATGAATGATAGAATACTTATATACTTTTTTGTAATATGTACTAAGTTTGAAACTAGATGGCGTTGTATGTCAGATGTAAGAAATATTACTATTATTGAGTGAGCAAGTGTAAAAATAAAAATAAACTGACTCATCCAAGTCTAGAAATTACCAACGTTTATAAATTCATATCTCACGAAGGCTTTGCGAGGCATGATTGTGAAAGGAGCCATGAGTGAACGTCCGATCTTCTTGTTAGCCTCGATTTGTAACCAGCGAGCGAGTCGGCTTCCGTTACGGGCAAACAGAAATACATACGTGCTAGGATTGTCCGGAGTAGATAAGTTTTGTTAACCTTCAGTGTGTCAAAAGTGTTTGTTTATATTTACATGAAAGTTTGTAAGGAAAAGGGAAGAAATAGAATGGTTCTAAAAAAAAAATATCTCACACACGGCCGTCTGATTCCAATCTAGGCAGAGCCTGTACTATGGTAACCAGACTGCTGATAAATATACTCGTACTCTAGGTATTTATTACTGAAACATCTATGATAAAACTGATTGAACTTAAATGACCTTCAGAGGAGTATTTATCTGAGGGCCGAGTGCAAGTCTATTTTACATCAACTCGCTCTCGACATGGAGCGCGTTTGGCGTTGCGATTGGTGCAAATTTCAGTGCACTAGCTCCTCTGATTATTATGCCGCAGTTCGACCCCCCCTTCCCTCCCAGAAGTAATTTTAACCTAGCTTGAACATCAGTTATAATAAATCGTTATGTTTGAGGGGGCTTTAATAGAAATACATATGAAACAACTTCATTAAATAGTCATGGAAAAGGAAATTTTTAAGTTTAAAATTTGTTAAGTTATGACTACCAAAAAAATATTCTGCTGTTTTTATTACTTAAAAATATGTTACTTTCTTTGATGTTGAATGTTTGATGACGTATTTAACAATATTTAAAATCATTCAAATAACCATGGCCATGGCTCCAAGGGCTGGAAAGATCTGATAGTACGTAACTCTGTCTAAACCGAGTTTGACTGCATGGATGGCGTAGTGGTTTAAGCGGTCGCCACGCCGCTTCCTATTACGCCGAGTGTTGTGGGTTCTAACCCCACATGAGACAACAAATTGTTGTTCTGAGTCTGGGTGCACTTTGTGTCCATTTCATGTATGTTTGTAAAGTGCTCCGCGACACAGGATTTATTCCTAGTGCGGGAGTTGTCTTTGAAAAAGGAAAAAAAAGGAAGTAAATGTTTTACAAGAATTCATGTTTGGCAAGAAGTCTTTTTCATTTATGTACTTTATGCGTATCATCTAAAATATATACACACTTTAACATATCAAAATATATTCTAGAATAACAGCTAGTACCCAGCAGTCTACACTAACAGTTTCTAGCTTCTTAGGCCCGTATTTTAAAACTTAAAACTAATTTTATGTACAGATTTTATTATTGAACGTCACTTTAAACGAGGTTCACCGATCCATTTTCAGGTGAGGGACACCTCTTTTTAGAACGATGTTTATGTCGAAATCTTTACTCAGGTATAGATTTTGACAGCTGTGATCTTTGTTAACGTGAGACAAGCTAAAACTAGTCTCAAGCGGTGATTTCTAGGACATTTTAGAAGAAATTGATGTGTTTTATGATGGTTAAAAGTATAATATTATTCTAGTTATATTAATTTCAGAAATATAAAAAAAAAACATTGTTTGACATTTCAATATGACAAGTGTTGATAAATAACTTAAACGTTCCGTTATAGCCTATATCTAGTAATTTTTATTTTAAGATTTATTATATTTTATTTTGGACGAACAACAACCTTGTTAATATGTTAACATTTCTACAATAGCCAATAGAATACTGTATACAAATTCACAGAAATTATGTTTGTAAAAGAAAATTATTTTTTAAATAATTAGAAATAAAATCAAATAATTAGCATCAATAATAACAATATCAATCATGCGGCAACGTAATTGAAAACAGACTGTAAGTTCAAATCAATACTTGAAACAAGTTTCCTCTGAGTAAAACTTAATGCGCGTTCTATAATTCGATACTTAAGTTTTGATCTGCACTTGAAACTAGTTTCAGGCAATCAGAGTCCAACCGATACTTCTTGAGACGTCTTTTGAGAAACGGGCCTTAGACATCTGTATTTTAACTAAATTACCTACACTACTAGTACTACTATACCAATAAAAAAAACAGTGGCACCCGGGAGTTCCGACATAAGTGAAAACTTGAAAAATTTTTTTTTAGGATTATAACAGGTTTTTTTGTTTTTTTTTTTTCGATTAGACAAGTTGCGACATGAATATATCTATGTTGTATGTATATAGATTTATTATCAACGTATTTCAACCCAAACTCAACTCTTGTATGTATGTAAACAGCTTGCCATGTAAACAGGGCCAATATATGTAGAAATTTAGATACAAAGGTGTCGGTAACGGTAACATTATTACGAGTTCAATGGTTTTTTCCCATCTCAAAAAAATCATTCTTTGGTTTGTTGTTCAAAAAGTTTGAAGTTTTCACTTCAAAAAACTTAACAGTGTCCGTCCGTCACAGTTAAAATTCATTTTATAATTGTAATAACTTTCCAAGGTCTTAATGAAATACATATATTTTATCATAAAACGTAAACGGCCTTGGAAAATAACAATACATTTAGAGCCAATATTACTTAACTGAATTTATGTACCCTTATAAATGAAGTCACGAACATTATTTATTCAACGGCCTGTATTATTTTTATTTATTTATTAACCCGATAGTAACCTCTTTTTATGCTGTATATATTTATTTGCGTAAAACTTTATGTAACATTGTATTTTTTTACATCACGTTAATCTGTCGAAAACCAAGTGGAATATGAGATTATTACTACAATAGTACAATATTTAAAAAAATAAGCTCACTTATATATGTAAAAGTGAGTTTGTTTGTTAGCTTTCATAGGCGTGAAAGCTAACAAACAATCTCACTCACTCAACCACTAAACCAATTTTTAAAATTATTTTACCAATGGAAAGCTACATCATCATCGAGTAACAAAGGCTAGCTTTTACCGCGATAAACGACACACACGGCGGGCAGAGCCACAAAAAGCTAGCTTTAAATAAAAATAATAATAACAGAATTTGATAGATTATCTTTAATTTCTGGTTTCGTAATTTATCCATAATCATCTCTTAAATTTATTTTTTTCATTTTATTAATGTTTCTTGTGCAGTAAAAGTGACATTATAATCCAACTGGATATTAAAAATAAATGTGTTTTAACAAAATATCAAAATATAATATACCTTTTTAAATGATACTTAAAGATCCGCTTTGCAAAAAAAGCGCCCAAATATTGCCGACTACAATTTTGATCCCAATTATGTAATGGATGGCAAGCCCATTGCCCAACCAGACACTTTAAGAATGAAATGGGAGAATTGAGAGTTCAATAGAAAAAGAAAAGTTAAAAAATTTAAGCCGAGATAGGAAATGATATATTT